GCGGCCGCGCTGGCTGTAGCCTCGGTGATGGGGTTGAGGGTCCTGGACGGCGGCGTCTGCTGTCGGGGGAGCCCGCGTGGTGGCCGCGCGAGTCTGGTCCCCGAGAGTAGGCGAGGGGAGTGCCAGGGGCCCAGGGCCTGTCACCCTTTTGGACTGTCAGGGCCCCGCCCAATGTCAGGGTCCTTGGCCCCTCAGGACTCCGAGTCCCCGTCAGGACCCCCACCCCAGTCAGGGTCCTGGCCCCCCCACGTCAGACCGCCCCTCAGGAGCCCCATCAGGGCCCCCCTTGTCCCGTCAGGACCCTGAGCCGGGGTTTGGCCTGTCCCCCTCCAGGGCGGGTAGAGCTTGGAGGGCGGGCGGAGGGGTGGGGGAAGGGGCTCAGAGGATTTTATTTTTGTATTTTTACAGCCAGAGAGCACAGGTACTCTCCAGAGAAAGACAGGAAGCACCCCTCGGTGGGGCATGATCACATCACAATCTCTTTTCCTCCATTCTTTCTTCCTGTCAGGATTTGGGGCATGCATGCACACACACCCGACATGTACCAGGTCACCAGGGCAGGCCCAGGATTCAAACCGCAGTCGTGTGGGATCTGGCTCCCACTGCACACCACCTAACCACTGCACTATGGGGCTGGCTTCAATGTTTCCTTCTTTAAAGCATATTTTCTTCCTGGAAGACAATGCTATACTTTTTTTGGAAATAATTATTTTATTTGACTTTACCTATTTATTTTAATGTGACCAGGGAAGGACAGAGAGAGAGAATGAAAAAAACAAGCTGCCAGGTCTGGGACTCTAACCACGGTTGGCCATGTGGAAATCCAGCACCCTTAACCACCATGCCACCTGCCAGCCCCAACAATGATACACTTTTATTTTTAAAAAGTTCTCTCAACTCCAGAATTACAAGAAGTCAGTATGAAACTATATAAGTATTTTTCTTAGAGATGATTTATAATTATTTTAAAAACTATGTACGATTTTAAAGAGCTACAAAGGAACTTATCTTGCTATTTAAATTTTTTTTTCTATCATTTATTTATTTTTTTAGAGGTTTTCGCTATAGGGCGCATACGCTGGCGCTAGACAGACAGACACAGTGAGAAATCACCCCTCAGGGAGGACGGCCATGCCGCAATCCCTTCTCCTCCATTCTCCTCTCGGATCTTGGGCACACACGCACACGCGCCCGGCATGAGTACTATTTCTTATGACACTAAGAAGCGTTGGATGTGGGACCAGCAGTTAGCGTAATGGCTATGTCGCTGGACTCCCACATAGTTGACCACGGTTCACGTCCCAGACCGGCGGCTTAAACTCAAGCCCGGCGCATGTGCGTGGATGCCCAAGATCCCAAGAGGAGAATGGAGGGGAAGGGATTGCGGTGTGGCCATCCCCTGGGGGGTGACTTCTCGCTTCCTGTCTCTCTGTCTCTTAAAGCTGCTGCACTGGGCAATGCTGAAAAGCATTGTTGTTTGCCATGAGCCCTGAACATCCAGGCACCTGTGTACCTTCTTTCTAGTTCTCATGGCAAGGTAGATATTCGAATTTTAAGAATGAGTTGGGACCAGAAGATGGCATGATGGTAGTCGCTGGACTCCCACAGAGTTGATTGCAGTTGAGTCCTGGACCCAGGGGTTTGAAACTCATGCCAGACACGTGTGCGTGCCCAAGACCTGAGAGGAGGATGGAGGAGAAAGGAGCTTGCTTTCTGTCACTCTGGGGAGCACATAAGCCCTAGAGCAAAAATCTTTCAAAAAAAAAAATGTCAAGGATGAGGAAATTAAAGTTCAGTAGTACCAAAACACGTGACTACAAACTAGTGGTGCTGCAGTTCAAAATCATATTTGACTGACTCCACAGGCTCCCTGACACTCACATGTCACGGGGTATATCCTTGAGTCTGTGGAGGAAGGCATTCGGAGAGTAAGAGAGTGAAGTCAGTCAGTCTGTTAGTTTGGTGTAGCTTACTACTTTTTCTACAATAAAATCTCTTAATGATATTGCAGGAACACCATTTTATATTTACTGAGTGTTTTCTACTGCAGAGTAGTAGTGAAAACACACATAACAATATGTAAGACACTGTAAGACACTAGCTATGCTCTCATGGAACTTACCAGCTAAAGTTATGTTTAAAATCACTACCTCGGGACCAGCAGTTAGTGTAATGGCTATGTCGCTGGACTCCCATGTCATCCACTGCGGTTCGCGTCCCGGACCTGGTGGCTTAAAACTCACGCCAGGCGCCTATGTGTGCGTACCCCAGATGCTGAGGGGAGAACGGAGGAGAAGGGATTGTGGTGTGGCCATCCCCACTGGGGGGTGATTTCTCGCTTTTTGTCTCTCCCTCTGTCTGGTGAGCGCACGCACCCTGTAGCAAAAACCTCTCCAAAAAAGAAAAAAAAAATCACTACCTCTTCTCACACACAGTGTCACCAAATGCATTATTTGAGATATTTACAATAGTTTTGCTGTATTTTCTTCAAGTGGGCTTGATGCTACAAATATTTAAGTAACTAATTATTTAATGTCCTGTTGAATCATCTCTCATCTGAAACTCTAAATTTACAGGGACCAGCAGTAAGTGTAATGGCTATGTCGCTGGACTCCCACATAGTCGACTGCAGTTCAAGTCCAGGACCTGGTGGCTTAAACTCACACCATGTGTGTATGCGTGCGTGCCCGAGATCCCGAGAGGAAAATGAAGAAGGAGGGATTGCGGCGTGGCCATCCCCCCTGAGGGGGTGATTTCTCGCTTTCTGTGTCTCTGTCTCTATCTTTCTAGCGAGGGTACATTTGTTATAGCAAAAACCTCTCAAAAAAATATTTATACGGTGCCCCAAAGTCACTAACTTGGTACCTGCTCTGTAATGCAGCAGTTAAGTGTGCAGAGGAAGCAAAATCCCACATGGCTGACCAGGGTTTGAGTCCTGGTCCCTGTGGATTGAAAAATATCCTGGGTATCTGAACATGTACCTAGGATCTTGTGCCCAGGGTCGGAGAATTGGAGGAAAAGGATTATAGCATGATCAGTCCCTGTTGAAGGCTGTCTATCTGTCTTGTGCATGCCCTCTGGCTTTAAAAAAATTATTGTGCATGGTTTTAGAAAGCGAAAGTTGAGGACCAGCCTGTGGGGGTGATGTTAAAGTGGCTGGATCCTACCTGGCCCACCACAGTTCAATTCCTGGTGGCTTGAGAAACATACCAGGCATGTGGAGGCATGTCCAAAATCATGAAAGGAGGGAGAAGGGACTGTGGCATGACCATTTCCAAAAGGGTGCTTTTTTGTTTTCCTCCTTTCTCTCTCTCTCTCTCAAATGTGTGTGTCCTCTGGCAAAAACTAACGGAACAAAAAAAGAAAGTGAAAGTTGAAAATCAAAACTAGCTACATCACTTAAAATTATAAAGACATTTTGAACATGTTTTCTATAGGTCAAGTCAATCACTGTTAAAAATTTTCCAAAGAGGCACAAGCAGATGGCATAATGGCTATGTCTCTGGACTCTCACGTAGTCAACCGTGGTTCGAGTCCTGGACCCAGTGGCTTAAACTCGCAGGGTGTGTGTGCATGTGTGCCCAAGATTCCGAGAGGAGAAGAGAAGGGATTGTGGCGTGGCCATCCCCCCTGGGGGCGATTTCTCACTTTCTGTCTCTCTGTCTCTGTCTTTCTGGCGAGCGCACGCACCCTACAGCAAAAACCTCTCAAAAAAATTTTTTCCAAAGAATGAATAAAATATAGGGCCTGCAGGTGGCATGGTGGTTAAGGGCACTGGACTCCCACATGGCCAACCATGGTTAGCGTCCCAGACCTGGTGGCTTGCTTTCTCACTTTCCCCCTCTTTCTCTGTCACTCTGTCCCTCTCTGGACAAAATTATAAATAAATAAATAAATAAATAAATAAATAAATGAATTCTTTAAAAAATAATTAAAACATTCAGTGCTTATTTATTTATTTTTTTTGGAGAGGTTTTCGCTGTAGGGCGCATGCGCTCACCAGACAGAGACATAGAGACAGAAAGCGAGAAATCACCCCCCAAAGGGGATGGTCACGCCACAATCCCTTCTCCATTCTCCTCTCGGGATCTTGGGCATGCACGCACATGCGCCTGGTGTGAATTTTTTTAAGCCACTGGGCCCGGGACACTAACTGCGGTCAACTACATGGGAGTCCAGCGACATAGCCATTATGCTAACTGCTGGTTCCCAGTGCTTATTTTTTTTAAAACTTGGAATTTCTATGGTTTATTTCAGCTATTTAATTTGTAAATCTCAATTTTTTTTTCTAAAATGCAGATAAAAATGGCAAACTCTTTTCCATCAAAGACCTTTACTGCACTTTCAGATCTATATCCAAACATGGCTAATCTGGTAGGTTTCAATGGTATGGTGTTTTGATTGTTTTCTAATGAAAGTTACTTTATGTGATGATATTATGTCAAAATTATTCATTCAACATATGCTTGTTTAATGGGCAAGTATATACTCACTGCATTTGTATAATTGTTAGATATTAAATATTCTTAAACTTCTTTTTAATTATTTAATTTTATTTATTCATCCATTTATTTTAATTTGACCAGAGAGAGGGAATGTGAGAAAGCAAGCCGCCAGGTCTGGGACTCGAACCATGGTCAGCCATGTGGGAGTGTCCAGTACCTTAACCACCACACCACCTGCTGATCCCCAATATCCTTAAACTTCTTTGTGTGTATAGTGGCTAAATGAAAATTAATCTTTTTTTATAAAGTAGGAGAGATGATTGTAGATTTGACTAGTAATTGTTAAAAATTAGAGTTGTTTGTATTTCAATGAAATGTTTGATAAAGTGACTAATTTAATATATATGCAAATTTAATATTGTAAACTTAAATGATTTTTTGTTGAGCAGTAGCAAATGTCTAATCAGATTACCCAGGAGATAGTCTTACATGCTTGTCATTGTACTACCTTAAGGACCTAAGGCTCCTAGAGGTGTACTTTCGCAATGATGAGGTATGCCAGCAGATGGTGTGGTGGTTGAGGTGCTAGGTCCCACATGGCTGACTTCACAGTTTAGTCCCAGACCTGACGTTCTGAAAAACACTCTGGTACGTATGCATGTGTGCATGCGCATGTGTGCGGGCCTCAGATCCTGAAAGGCGACTGAAAGGGAAGGGGTTACGGTGTGGCCATCCCTCTGGATTAGATGCTTTCTCACTTTCTCTCTCTCTTCTGTGAGCACATGCTCCCTGTAGAAAATTTAAATAATTAAATTTATGTAACAAATTGAAGTTAAGATCTGTTGCTTGGAGGCCAGCCCCATAGTATGTTATGGTTAAGTGCTGTACGTAGATAGCCAGATTGCACATAGCCAGTGTGGCCAACCGTCCTCCAAATTCTGGCCCCAGAGCTTGAGAGACACACTGGAGCATGTCCTGTGCCCCAGATCCTGACAGTGTGGAGAAGCGGAGGCAAAGGGATTGTGTCGTGACCGGACCCCACTGGGGTGCTTTATCTTTTTCACTCTTCAGTGTACATGCCCACTGGCAATTAAAAACAAAAACAAACCCTGTTGCTAGAATTAGTCATATAAGTTTAAGTTTTTACTTTCAGGAAAAGATAGTTGTTTCTACTCATTTATTTATTATTTAGAGAGATTTTTGCTATAGGGTGTTTGTGCTCACTGGAGACACAGAGATCGAGAGAAAGTTAGAAATCACCTCGCAGAGGAGATGGTCACGCTGCAATCCCTTCTCCTCCATTCTCCTCTTGGGATTTTGGGCATGCACACACATAATGCCCAGCATGAGTTTCAAGCCTCCAGGACTTGAATGGCAGTCGGCCATGCGGGAGTCCAGCAACATAACCATTATGCCATCTGCTGGTTCCTTATTTATATTTCTTTATGAGAGAGGGAGAGATATGCATTTTGACAATGTCTTGCCACATTGCAACTCTCCTACTCGTTTCCTAGTTTGGGCTAGAACCTCAGACACATGCTGTGGGGCTCCTGGCCTGTAGTCTCAGACTGGAACCAAACCATGTCTTCTCTGTGACCTCAGCCACTGTGTAGTGGTGCCCACCCACTTGAACTACCACACACGGGCCAGTTATTTTTGTTTCTTAAAGCACATTTTCAACATTTAATTTTTCTTTCGTAGTCACTAAAGAGAACATTAAAAATTTTAAGGAGATTTAATATTTCTCAGATCTAGATCTAAGATCTTTAAGATCTAAGGATTTAGAATTTAGATTTATTAGCAGCAATATTCAAGTTTTGTTACAGTCTAAGTTTTATTATCATCCAGCATGTTTAGATTTAGAAGCTCAGCAACTTTATGTGGGTTGTTGGAAACCCCTGTATGAAGATAGCTCTGAAGACCATGGCAAATGGGATTGTATTATACATGTGCTGTGGATGAATTTGGTAAGAATTGATAGCACAGAGCAGTCACTGTGCTCCATCTAGTGACTGAAAATAAAGTGGGAACATACAGAGTGTCAAATGATTCTATCAGGTCAGCTTTCTCATTACTTTGTACTATTCCTTGTGGAATTGACTGTTTATGAAGTTCTCTCAGATGTCTGCAAAAAATACATTGAAATGGTTCCTGGTGAAAAATGTTTATTAGAGCTAGTAAAATAGAACGAGTTCATGAAATTCGACTTACCATCTCCATCTGTGTTTAATACTGGTCTTCCATAACCTTTTGTGTTTCAGAAAATAATTGGTATAGTTATCGGGAAAACAGATGTCAAAGGCTTTCCAGACAGAAAAAGCTGAGTTCTGTTTAACTCTTTGCTTTATTTTCTCTCAACTGTGGCTTATGAGTACAACAAAGTATATTTAAGTGATTAAATTTTCCATGTCTGTTTAACTTCTTACGAGCAATAGCCATGTTCTCTATTGTATGGTCAAGTACTCAATTCAAGACCTTATGTAAAGGGACATTAAAATAAATTTCTTTTAAAGACAGCCTCTTGCTTTGTCACACTTCACCTGTCTCAGCCTCCTGCACCAGCCTCTGAGTAGCTGGGACCACGAGATTGGCACCATTCCTGGCTCTTTTAGACAAGGTGTTACGGTGTTGCTCAGGTCAGTCTCAAGCTTGCGGTTGTCCTGCCTGATCTCCCCTGAATCACTGGGGTCACAATGATGTCGCATGCCACCTTGTGTATTTAGGTTGGACTAGAAATCAAACCTGGCTCTCCCACTTGGTCCCAGTCTGCAGAGCACAGCGTCTTAGCACTTTGTGCCACCATGGGTGGATCCATAATCACTTTTATGTTTTTTTTTTTTTTTGAGAGGTTTTTGCTATAGGGCGCGTGCGCTTGCCAGACAGACAGAGAGGGACAGAGAGACAGAAAGCGAGAAATCACCCCCCATGGGGGGTGGCCACACCGCAATCCCTTCCCCTCCATTCTCCTCTTGGGATCTTGGGCATGCATGCACACGCACGTGCCTGGTGTGGGTTCTAAGCCACCGGGTTCGGGACTCAAACTGCGGTCGACTACATGGGAGTCCAGCGACATAGCCATTACGCTAACTGCTGGTCCCCATAATCACTTTTAATGATTTTATTTCATGTTTCCCAATGTTGTTTTAAAGATTTTGGTTATTCAGCAGTTAGCGTAATGGCTATGTCGCTGGACTCCCACGTAGTCGACCGCGGTTCGTGTCCCGGACCCGGTGGCTTAAAACTCACGCCGGGCGCGTGTGTGTGCGTGCCCAAGATCCCGAGAGGAGAATGGAGCAGAAGGGATTGCGCGTGACCATCCCCCCTGGGGGGTGATTTCTCGCTTTCTGTCTCTATGTCTCTCTCTGTCTGTCTGGCGAGCGCACGCACCCTACAGTGAAAATCTCTCCAAAAAAAAAAGAAAAAAAAGATTTTGGTTATACAGTGCCAACATAGCTAGTTAACTTGCTCATCTAATTAACTCGTCTCAAATGTGTTTATTTAGTACCTGCGCTGTGTATGGCCCCGTGGAATATAAAGGTAAATGTGGAAGTTACGGTTTCCTGTAACTTCATGATTTCAGATGTCACAGTGTCTAAGAGCATAGCCTTAGGGCTAGCTTGACTTGGGCTTTTGTAGTTACTGCTTGATCTAAGATCTGTCCAGTATCTATAAAATGGGGATAAATGAAACTGCTATGAGCGTTAAATGAGTACAGATGTGTAAAGGTTAGTTCATGTGTGGCCTGTAGTAAGAACTCCATGTTAACTGTCACTTTCAGCATACAAAGTGACAGCACGTGTAAATCTCACAAGATACAGAAGTGACAGCACGTGTAAATCTCACAAGATACAGAAGTGATCAGGATGACGGGTTTTGAGCGAGGAGGTGTCATGATAGAGTCGTATCCGAGGAGAGAAAAGTGTGGCAGGCCTGTCTGTGTTTACTCAAACAACCAGGTAGTCCAGTGGGAAAATCATCCTCAATGTGTGGAAAAAACAGTTAACTTTGGCTCTAGTGGCTCTTACTGAATTACTGGAACTATGCAAGGGTTTTAGGAAAATGAAAATATTTAAGACTAAAATTGGATTTTAAAAATCACCACTAAACTTTCATAGTTGACATGAAATGTAAAATATAGAATGTCAAAATGAGCAATTCACTACTGTTATATTTAAAGGTGTTGATGCTTTTTATTAAAGGTTACAGTGGGCCAGCTGGTGACGAGGTGGTTATCCCACACGACTGACTGTGGGTTCAAGTCCCAGACCTGTGACTTAAAAACACTCCAAGTGCTTGTGCATACACGCCTAAAGTCCTGAAAGGAGGAATGGAAGAGAAGAGATTGTGGCATGACCATCCCCATAGGGGGTGCGTTTTCACTTTCTCTCTCTCTCTCCCTCTCTCATGAGTGCGTGTACCATCTAGCAAATTTCTTTTATTAATTTATAGGTTACAGTATAAGTGAGTAAGAGCTCTAAGCAGCCAGCCAGTCCTTTTGGCAGAAAAATATACATTAATTTTGCTAAAATCACCTGAGTAATTAACAGCTGTGATACTTTTACTCACAGTATATTGACAAGCGTCTTTATTTTCATCTTACTTGATATTTATATTCCTTTTTTTAAAGGCTTTTTGCCATATGGCATATGTGCTCACCTGAGAAAGAAAGAAATGGGAGAGAGGGACCAGCAGATGGCATAGTGGTTAGTGGTTACGTCACTGGACTCCCACATGTCTGACTGTGGTCAGAGTCCCGGACCCAGTGGCTTCAGACTCACACCAGACACATGTCTGTGTGTGCCCAAGATCCCAGGAGGAGAATGGAGAAGGGATTGCGGTGTGGCCACCTCCCCTGGGGACTGACTTCTCACTTTCTGTCTCTCTGTCTCTCTCTATCTGGAGCACGTGCACCCTATAGCAAAAATCCCTCTACAAAAAAAGTGGGCTAGCAGGTGGTGTGGTTTAGGATGCTGGACTCCCACATGGTCAGCCATGGTTCGAGTCCCAGACGTGGCTTACTTTTTCACTTTCCCTCTCTCTCTCTGATTAAATAAATAAAGTTAAATAAAATCATTCTTTTTATAGAAAGTAATTATTAAAATATTTGCTAAAGGGGATGGTAGGTGGTGTGGTGGCTAAGGAGCTGGACTCCCACATAGCTTACTGCGGGTTTTTTTTTTTTTTTTTTTTGTGGGGTGTTTTTTTTTTTTTTTTTTTTTTTTTTTTTTTTTTTTTGCTATAGAGTGTATCACCCCCCAGGGGGGATGGCCATGCCACAATCCCCTCTCCTCTGTTCTCCTCTCGGGATCTTGGGCACGCATGCACGCGCGCCCAGCATGAATTTTAAGCCACCAGGTCCAGGACGCGAACTACGGTTGACTACATGGGAGTCCAGCAACATAGCCATTACGCTAACTGCTGGTCCCAGTCTACTGCAGTTTTAATCCTGGACCTGGCGGCTTGCTTTCTCATTCTCTGGTCAAATTGAAAAATGATGTTGAATAAAATTAAATAAAATAACCTTTAAAATAATTTACTAAAATTGTAACAAATGCAGTTTTTTACCCGATTATGAGGGTAGGGGGAACAGTCAAAATGTTTGACTTCATTTTATAATGATATCTATAATGTTCCTTTTTTGGAAAAGGAATGCTTTTTTTTTTTTTTTTTTTTTGAGTTCTGCTATAGGGTGCATGTGCTTGCTGGAGAGACAGAGAGAGAGAAAGTGAGAAATCACCCACTGGGAGTGTGGTCACGCTTCAAACTCTTCATTCTCCTCTTGGGACTTTGGGCATACACACACATCTAGCATGTCTTTCAAGCTTCCAGGTTCAGAATCAAATTGTACAGTCATCTATGTGGGATCCATGTGGAGTCCAGGGAAGTCCAGTGACATAACATAACCATTATGCCATCTGCTGGTCCCAAGAAATGTTTACTTTTATTTTTATTTTTTTAAATAATTGTTTATTTATTCAATTCCATTTATTATTATTATTTAATTTGACCAGGGAGACAGAGACAGAGAGAGAAAGGGAGAGGGAGAAAGCAAGCTGCCAGGTCACCTGCTGGCCCAGGAATGCTTGCTTCTAAAACATTGCGAATGTGGGGTCAGCAGGTGGCATTGCGGTTAAAGGTGCTGGACTCCCACATGGCCTGCCACAGTTCGACTTGGTGGCTTACTTTCTCACTCCTCTCTCAGTCTGTCTCTCTCTGGTCAAATTGAAAAATAATGATAATAAAATAAACATCACATATATAATGTCTTATTATATTATTAAAACTTTAAGTCATATAAAAGGTCTTAGAGTTGAAAAGTGACATTTCCCTTTCAACCCTCCCCAACTCTTCCCACCCTAGTCCTCTCCCCAGAGGTAGACACTAAACAGTTAAAAATATACCTACAATTTTCAAATGTATTTTAGGTTCTATAATTTTTTTTTGAGAGGTTTTCGCTATAGAGCGCGTGCGCTCGCCAGACAGACAGAGAGAGACATAGAGATAGAAAGCGAGAAATCACCCCCCTGGGGGATGGTCACGCCGCAATCCCTTCTCCTCCATTCTCCTCTCGGGATCTTGGGCACGCACGCACACGCGCCCAGCATGAGTTTTAAGCCACCGGGTCCAGGACGCGAACCGCGGTCGACTACGTGGGAGTCCAGTGACATAGCCATTACACTAACTGCTGGTTCCCATAGGTTCTATAATTTTTTTTTTTGGATAGGTTTTTGCTATAGGGCGTGTGCACTTTTGCCAGAAAGACAGAGGGAGACAGAGAGACAGAAAGTGAGAAATCACCCCCTGGGGGCATGGCCACACCACAATCCCTTCTCCTCCATTCTTCTCTCAGGATTTTGGACATGCACATACACGTGTCCAGCGTGAGTTTAAGCTGCTGGGTCCAGGACTCGAACCGTGGTTGACTACATGAGAGTCCAGCGACATAGCCATTACGCCATCTGCTGGTCCCTAGGTTCTATAATTTTTTAATTAGGAAGGCCATTTTGGAAAAACAGTACTTGCTGACCCCTAGTGGTGTTCATTTAGTAGCATAATTTTTCTTCCAATAACTATTTAGAAACAAATTTTGAGTTAGGTTAAAACAATAATAAGACAGGAGAATCTAAGCTAGTATCTGGATGGCTCAGTTTACATGTTATTCCCTCTACATACACAGACAGCTGGGGACAGGAGCCAGAGGGCCAGTAGTAGAGCTGCCTGTGCAGGCAGCTTGTTGCCCCTTCACTGTGAAGTTCATAAAAGCCTAACTTAGTAAGAGAATGTAACCTGAAACCACTCCTTGAGGCTTGCTTCCTAGCCTGGTGGTTAAGGCAGCCGGATCCCACGGATCCCACGTGACTGATCCTGCAGTTCCAGGTCTCAGACCCACCTGTTTGGGAAACACACCAGGCACATGTGAATATGTGCCCAAAATTCCACAAGGAAGGAGAAATGGAGGAGAAGGAGTTGTGATGGGACAGTTCCCCCGGTGGTTGCTTTCTCTTTTCTCTCTTTCTCTCTTTCTGTTTCTCTGGCAAGCACACACTCCCTCTACCAACAACAGCAACAGAATAATTTTGTAGCATGTGTTTGAATATTTTCTTATAACAATAATCAACAAACTCAGCTGTGGTGATACACTGGTAGATCCTGTGCCAGTGGTCCCAGCTGCTTAGGAGGCCGAGGCAGGAGGATTTTCACATGGCAGGATTCTACCTGGGAAATAAAAAGAAAAATCATTACTCAATCACTTGATCAAATAATCATTTGTTCAAAGTTGAAATAAAACTTTCATTAGAAAATAAAAGCATTTGTTTTTCCTTAGATCTTGGATCAGAAAGGTATACTTTCAGTTTCACCATTCGCGATTCACCAATGTATTTTGTAAATGCGACATCCTGGGGCAGTGAGGAGTACATCAAGTCACTTTCTGGCAGCTTCACGGTTGGTGAGTGTGGTAAGTTAGCAATTTTTTTTTTTTTTAAGTTTCTGCCATATGACACATGTGCTCACCAGAGAAAGAGAAAGTGAAAAATCACTCCCCATGGGGATGGCCATGCCACAATCCCTTCTCCTTCAGTCTCCTCTTGAGCTTAAGGCAAGCGCACACACACACCCAGAGTGAGTTTCATGCTACCAGGTCCAGGTCCAGGACGCGCATCGTGGTTGGCCGTGTGGGATCCAGTGCTTTAACCACTGTACTACCTGCTTGGCCCAGCACTGATTACTAAGCCATTTTTACTATATCATTTCTCTGTTTGTGTTAACCACACTGAAGGAGTCAAAATGAGATAGCACACAGTTTATTCTTAACAATTTTATCAGAAAAAAATGTACGTAAAGAGCGTAACAAGAGGATTCAGTGTGTTACCTGAAGCATATAGATATGATAGTCATACTGAGTAACTTTATTTCAGATTTCAACTTGCATCAACTCCTATTTTATTATAATCATTTATCTTTCTGTAGATGCATAATGGGGCCACTGGGGCAATTTTGATTATATTTGATAGCTGAATATTTAATGGGATTTTAAGGAACTTTACTTTTAGCTGAAACATCTACTCACCCCAATATCCCTCTGATGGTACGGTGTGGTGTTATAGAAAGAACAAGGACCTTGCAGGGCTGTGGAGTGGCAAGGGATAATGCACCTAGACCCACACGTAAGGTCCTGCGCTCACGTTCCAGAAGCTTCTAGCACATGGCAGGAATATGATCTGTGATGACTGAGATGGAGGTAGCTTGTAGAGTGCAGACCCTGTTGGGGATGCCATCTCTCTGTCTCTGTCTCTCATGAAAGGAGGAAATAAACCTACAAAACAAGCAAACAAAAAAGAGCACTTTGAAAATACATAGAACTGCATTCAAATCCTGGCAGTGCTGGGCATGGTGGGGCACGTGTGCGGTCCCAGCTACTGGAGAGGTTGAGGCGAGGAGACGAGCCCAGGCGTTCTGGGCTGTAGTGCACTGTGTTAGTCAGGTGGGTGCACCC